GGTGTGTAGAGGGCAAATCGGAGACGTTGGCGGTACAAAATGGACGGCTAGGATTGGAGGGATGATATTTTGAAATTGAGACGCACCTGAGGGGCAGAGGATCAGAAGAGAGTGGCAGAGAGACAAACCCTCTGAGACAAGCAATTGAATTGTGACCGTTGGATCTTCAGACAAGGAGCCGATTCCCTTGTGCTTCACAGCTTTGTCATTAAATCCAACGGTCCTCAGCTTTATGGCTCCATTAATGTTCTACTGTACCCTCTCTGATGCAGAGAACTAGGGTTTTTACTTGTTTTGTAAGCATGATGATATATGTACACATGCATTAAATAATAAACAACCATTTCACACGATCAATGTTATGACCGTAATTAACACTAAGCCTGAGATTTTCTTTTCTTTTGTGCTTAGGCGAAGTTTATCGTATTGCCAACATTTGCAGAATTTTATATGATTCCTTTATTTAAACTTTCGTTATCGGTGTGTGTGTATATATATATATATATAAATTCTATTAAACTTATCTTTAAGATTGATGTTGCCGTTGACTAAAGAACGAAGAATTTTGCATAATTTTGGAAGCAATTTATATGAATAGTCCTCTTTCAATACGAAGCCACGCGCGGGAGAGGGGACGTGGAATGCAACGCATGAACAAGTTTACCTTCCGAGTAAACAAGAACGAAGGACAAAAATCTACGTTGAAACCAGATACTAACCCCTAACAGACCACGTAATCAAATAAAAACAACGATTAACGACCTAATAAACATATGATTAGGACCATAAACCACGATTAAGACTCCCGATAATGATGATGATCAGTGTGGTTAGCACTGTTGGGAGATTGAAGGGGAAACAACGGCAAAAGCTCAGGCGCGTCGGCTCCACTCCTCGGACTCGGATGCAAGTAAAACCCTTTCCGGGCGATGGCCTTTTGCTCCTCCTCGTCCAGCGCGTGATGGTCTCCACGCGCCGAATGTGGGCTCACGCGCGTCCAATACGGGTCGAGGTGTGACACGGGAGAAACGAGGAAGCCTCTACGGAAATGGCTTAAAGGGTCGTTGGCGTTGTCGGCGGCGTTGTTGAGCTTGAGCTCGAGCTTCTTCGCGGATTGACGCCGTTCGTGGAGCTTGAACGCCGGTTTCTTGGGCGTTAATGGAAGCTTTTGCTGTGTGGAGGAGGGTGAAACGGCGTCGTGTGGTGCTCCTGTGAGTTTTTGGACGATGGTACGGAAGTTGGAGGGATCGGCTTGGACGAACGTCGTGTTTGGGTCGGTGACGTAGCTCGAAGGCGCCGGCGGTGGAGAGTTCCGGTGGCTCATGGCGGCGGAGAGTTGTGAAGACGGAGAAAATGTCTGAGAGAGAGACAGAGAGATAAAAGTGTTGATGAGACTTGGAGGAGTTCGTGTTGTGTTGTTGTGCAAGGGATTCTGGTTTGGATGACCAATAATTTAAAGAAGCTTGTTCCATTACACCGTCCAACGTGTTGACATTTTTGTCAAATAAAAATCAAAATAATTATTAAAAACATTTAATATATTGTATTTCAACTTTCTTTTATAACATTTTGAAACCTTTGGGACCCAAAACAAAAGTGGAGGGAGAAAGAAGATTGAGGTCTTTGACTTCATCTTCTGCCTTCATATCCGAAAATTTTCACAATGTGAATAGTGTTTTTTTAAATGAATTTCAGCTCGGAAGCTACATCCTAATTACCCCATATTTAAAAATTTCTAATATTCGCTATGTAATGTTTATATATATATATATAATCTATTCTCGTGTAAATTTACATATGTTTTATATGGATAATAGTAGTGGCCAATGCTCTTACTAATGGTGGTATATTACAAAAACGAATGCTAAGATAGTAGTGGTGAACACATCATATATGAACATATGATAAAGAAATCAGTCGGTCCAAGTTGACTTATTGACGACATTAAAAATTCCATCATTTCTCCTTTCTCTATTTCTTTTGTTCCGTGAAGAACCCGAAATAGAATTCAAATGGGTAATATTGTAACATTCTTTTATTAGACTTCCGTTTTCAGCAATTCATGACGTGTAACCTGTTTATTTTCTAATCATCCGAACTATATATTATATATATATATATATATAGTTTCCTTCAAGGACTCGTTTTTCTTTTCCTTGTAGAAACAGCCGCCGCTATATTCAAAACAATTATACGGATATAAATATTATATTTCACACCGTTTATAAATGCTTATAAATACAGGAACCTGTTTGAATAGTTGAAAGCAAAAAACACCTTATAAAAAAAAATTTCTCTGGCAATGAATGATGTGCCGTGGTAGGTGAAATTTAAAAGTTGAAAACGAAATAAAAATATTACATGCATTATTACTCGAAAACAAAACAAAATAAATATATTAAATTTCATATAAAATAAAATATTCTGACATTTTTTTTTCAGATATGAAATCAGATGGTCAGCACGGAACCTGTGTTTCTTGTGAACTTATATAACTCCTCTGGTCTTTTGGGCTTTTACCTGTCTTCCAGCATTTATTCGTTAGCTGCAGATTTTGTTATTGTGTATATTGATTTTGTAATTGACAATAAAATCTTAACTCGGACTATTATATGTAAAAAAAAATACATAATTTCAATGTGTAAAATTAAAAATATTTTTAACAAAAAAAAGTAAAACTATGTGTTAATCTATTTTACAATTAATTTGTATATATATAGTTACTGTATATTTTAATTACCACTATTACCAAAGACCTCGAAATTTTTTCAACGTGACATTTCGCATGAAGTCTGTGGCATGAAAATTTTAATTTCTAAATGTGTACGTAGTTTACCTTATCAAAAAAAGTCAGGAAATTTTCGAGTAAATGCATAGAAGTCTATGTTTTATAAAGTATATCATTCAAAATTTCAAATTCGGATATATCTGTCTTAAAAATATTCGAATTTCAAAATTTAGAAGAAATAAATGTGACCGCGAGAAAGATTGTGTATTAAATCTGTTGGGAGTTCGTTATATATACATATGTATAATACCGATTGTTTGTATGATTTAGTTTTATACTTAATCTTACTTACAGAGTTTTAAAAATGAGACAAAAAGAAAATACAGCCTAAACGTGCTTTTTATTGCTTTTAGGCTGTAAACAATGTTTTTGTCGCCCAAAGTTGGATAACGCAACCGATGAGAAAGAAAACAAAACTTATTTCTCATCCGAATTCGAGTCTTTATTTAGGAAAGACATTCATATGTATTTCTCTAATCATATGGGAGATCGGACAAAAAATTCCGATGAATTTTCGGATTATAAAAAAAAAATATTTTTATCACCTTTCATATAGGATATGGACATTATAAAAAATACTCTTATTTTGCTATTCATACTTCAACACATATCATTCTCCAATTGTGACCATGTGACCCATATGACCCAAATATATAGCGTGGTCACATATTGATCTCATTATTCATAACGTTAAATTTATGATGTTTTAATCAAATAATTAGTAATATATATAATATATGAATATAATAAATTAGTGAGATCACCGTAAATTTAATATTATAATCAATAAAATCAAAATGTGATCATATTATATTTTGGATCATATGGATCACATGGTTATAGGTGGACAAAATAAAAAGTATTTTTGATATAATACCCTCTCAAATAAAATAAAAAAAATAATTATAAGGCGACAAAATCTTGTAATAGGAAAAGAAGAAGAATGTTGTAAAAAAAAACAAAGGAGGGATAGTTGGCGTGAAGGATTCTAATTTGACGAAAGAGGCTCTGCATTTTTCTCTGTTTGCTTGCATTTGACTCTTTTTGGACTTTTGGCGCGTCTTTAGACATTTTTCTTAATTTTCCACTGGCTGTATTATCTTTTAAAATATAATCTAATGTTTTGGAGGAATGTGAACATGCGTGTGTGTATATATATATATACACACATATATGCTCAATGCTTTGGATCGTTTGTGGAGGACACCATCATTCCCTGGATAGACTTTGATCACAAGTACATTAATGAAGTAATATACTTACAACCGAAATGCTAGACAACGTGAACTAATAAAGGCGTAATATTAATTTAGAGTTGGATATAAACCAAACTTACCCATTAAACATTTTCTCATAAAGAAGGTGTTAACACAGTGATTATATGAAATGGAAGACGCAAACAGACATTAAGAGCCAAAGGAGAAGATTCAGACGGAAGAGTTAGAAAGACAGAGGAGACACCATTTTCAGTCAGGTCAGATGGAGAGATCAGCCAGATTGAAAGTCTTCTCAACAGCTTTGGCCCAAGAATCAGCCTTCTTCTTCCTGGTCTCCTCGTCCAACACCGGCTTGAACATGGCTGCTGCGTTCTTCGCCTTCTCCCCCGATTCAAATATATCCTCTTCCTTCCAGAACCCTACCGCCAGCCCGGCTGCGTACGCTGCTCCTAGTGCCGTTGTCTCTATGTCCGCCGGTCTCACCACTGCACTCCCCAACAGATCAGCCTGCAATCAAAACATTACATTACAGTTTCAGATTCATCATCATCATCATCATCATCATATATATGTATACATATACACACAAATATGAGTCAACCTGAATCTGCATCAGAAGGTTGTTAGCTGTGGCTCCTCCATCCACTCTTAGCAAGAACTCTTTCTCGCTCTTTACTGTTCCCTTTTCACCAACGTCTTTGTTCATCGAGTCCAGAACGTCATTCACTTGGAAACACATACTCTCAAGCACCGCTCTTGCTATATGAGCCTTGTTCGTGAACCTTGTGATCCCAATGCACACCCCTCGAGCATCTTCCCTCCACCACGGAGCAAACAGACCATTGAACGCCGGCACAAAGTACACACCTCCTGTTGTCTCCACCTGCTTTGCCAGTTCCTCGATATCACTGGCCTTTTGGATTATCCCGAGACTGTCTCTTAGCCACTGAACAGCAGCTCCTGCAATTGCAATCGAGCCCTCGAGTGCGTAGTTTGTCGGGGCTTCTGGACCGAGCTTGTAAGCAATCGTGGTGAGAAGCCCGTGTCCTGATTTGATCACTTCCTCGCCCGTGTTCAGAAGGATGAACGCTCCAGTTCCGTAAGTACTCTTGGCCTCACCTTTCCTGCAAGCTTGTCCAAGCATGGCAGCATGCTGATCACCGAGGCACCCAGCTATCGGGATACCGGGAATAGGCCATCCTTTGCAGATCTTTCCAATGACTTCAGAGTTGCTGACGATTTTGGGCAGGATCTCGGCTGGAATGCCGGGGGGCTTCAGGACTTCGTCGTCCCAGCTTA